AAACCGTATATATTGTGTTGTGTTAATTTGTTATAATCGTTACTGGTATATTTCTTTCTCTGCACAGTCTCAGTTGTGGTGATATACATTCACCAAACGATCCCCACCCTGTGACAGCGGACGAGCTGAGAGGGAGGAAACTTATAAGATAAGCACGCTACCAAAGACAAAGACTATTAGACCGGTATTAAAAACAAGCTCCCCGATCCTGAATACGGTGTAGCCCCATAAAGCCCCCCCCCCGCATTTAACGTCACAATATATTAATAACTGCAAATACCAACAGTCAGGATGGCGTTGGTTATATCGTAATTAGTTCCAAATCACTGAGTCAAATTCCGTCCAGGATCTCGCATGAGCCTAAATGATGACAGATATAACGCAGCCATTTACTAGTAATCAGCTAAATAAGTCAGTCTACAGATACGTGAAAACTAATTCATGACATGATCATGACCAGCAGGAACCCATTAGTAAAACCATTATAAAAACCTATTCAATTTAATCCTGCAAAGTGGATTCATCCCTAATTGCTGGAATCTAAGAATGATAACTTCTATTTTCAATAAATGTGACAATTACAATTACAGAGGCATCACACTTCTTACTAGTATCATGCTCTTCGCTTTCATTCTTGAGCAACGACTTTGGAAACATAACAATACAATTATCAGAGAACAAATTGGATCTATGCCTAACTTGAGCTCCAAGGACTAACCACAAAATACCGAAGCAACAAAAAGATGTTTGTTTTGTTTCATTGACTTTGAGGAAGCCTTTGATTCCATCTGGCACCTCGGTCTCTTCTGGAAACTTATCCAAAGTGGCATTACAAGGAAATTCTACAACATCGTACAATCCATTTATCTGAACTCAACAGGATGTGTTAAACTTAAACAGGCATTATGCAAAAGAATGGACTCAGTCAACTTCTTTTCAATATCTATGTAAATGACATTGAAACATCATGCTATATGCAGACGACCTTGTAGTGTTGTCCCAATCACATATCGGCTTACAAAATGCCATAAATTATTATGAAACTTAATGTCAGAAATGGAAACTCAATATTAATATCTCTAAGTCAAATATCATCATGTTTAGTAGGTCTAAAAAATCACAGGACAAATTCAAATGTTTATGTTGATGGGAAGGAACTTGAAAATACAAAAACCTACACTCAACGGAGCCCAAGAAGACCTCAGAGCTTGAGGATAAAGGCATGTTTCAATATGAAATATTAAAACTGATTCCAATCAAAATCCAAGCAACAATACCCAACTATAATCCAAACAATCAATGTCAAAAGGCAATAC